TATAGCAGACGCCCACCATGACACCTTGTTGCTCTCACCTCTAAATTTAACCCAAAGACTCTTTACAGGCTTTTCTCCAGTTTCATACCGGAGCTCTGAGCAATCATACTACTCTCTTACATACAGTACAACTCATCCACATAGAGGATCTGCTTCTCTGTGCACAAATGAGGATTTGATTTTTTTTTCTTAATAAATCAAATTATTCTAGAAAATAATCCAAATGGAGCCATGGTGGCAAAATGCCCATGAGCCCACCTTACCTTTTACGTCCAGTACCTGAACGCATCTTGCACCGCTTCTGCTGCTTTTTCCTGTGTCTGGCCCCACTGCACGTAACACATCTCATCTAAAAGTGCACCAGAGAAATAAAATAGGCCCTCCCTATACTAGAAACAACCATGTTTCAGATTTGTAAAAGCCAGATTTGTCTTGCACACTATCGTTATGCTTTCTAACCACAACCCTGCTCAGTCAGGTGTCAGCAAAAACAAAGTTGTTAGGTATGTGCTTTGCACAATTGTGATAAATCAGAGGGGGGATAGCTCCCTTTTGTGGACACCTAGCCAGCCAGTTGGCTATGGAATCCCTCTTGATGGTTGTTCCCTACTTGCTTTACCTGTAAAGGATTAACAAGCCCACAGGTAAAAGGAAAGGAGCAGGCACCTGACCAAAAGAGCCAATGGGAGGGTTAGAACTTTTTAAAATTGGGAAAAAATTTCCCTTTGTCTGTGTGTTTTTGTTCTCCAGGAAAGAGGGGAACAGGGAGCAGTTATGCTCTGAGAAGCTTTAAGCCAGGTATGAAAAACCATCACATCATACCTAAAGATTGCTTATCTGAAACCCCAGAAATGTAAGTAAATTAGGGAATGTCTAGGAAGATGCGATTTAGGGTTATTTCTTTTATTTTTTTTATTGGCTTGTGGACTCGTCTGTGCTAACCCCAACTGCTTTTGTTTTGCTTGTAACCTTTAAGCTGAACCTCGAGAGTTATCTTGATGCTTAATTTTTGTAATTGTTTCTTTTGAGATCTAGCAAAAAGCCTATGTTCCAAATGTATTTCCTTTCTTTTGTGGTTTAATAAAATTTACCTTTTTTAAGAACAGGATTTGATTTTTGTGTCCCTAAGAGGTTTATGCATATGCTGTTTAATTAGCTGGTGGCAACAGCTGATTTCGTTTGTTTTTTTCCTCAACTCTTCCTGGGAAGGGGGGTGAAAGGGCTTGAAGGTATCCCACAGGAAAGAATTCCCAAGTGTTCCTTCCTGGGTTTTCAAGGGTTTGGTTTGTTTTTTTTGCACTTGGGTGGTGGCAATATCTACCCATCCAAGGTCAGAGAGAAGCTGTGACCTTGGGAGTTTAATACAAGCCTGAAGCGGCCAGTATTAATTTTTTAAATTCTTGCAGGCCCCCACCTTCTGCACTTAAAGTGCCAGAGTGGGGAATCAGCCTTGACAACAATAATGTGGAAAATAGAAGGTTGATTAAATCTCATTGTGTATGAAAGTGGGCTAAATAGGTGTCTATTGGTCAAATCTACCACTGGCATAAATGAGATTGGAATGAGATTAAATGTATTTTATATCATATACACATTTTTGCACCTGTATTTTTGTATGTAATGACTAGCAAGCTGCTTTGCAGAATTTTTTTTTTAAATCGGACTAGATTGAGCTAAATATTATGCTCTTAGTGCTGTGAACAACAATACGTTTTTTGTTGCTGGGAACTTTTATGCAGGATGAGCACATCCGAAAGAGGAGGCCAAATGCACAGCTGGGAACAACTCAGTGAGATTACTCTTCCATTTAAAGTTAAGCATATGGCTTGTTGGATTGGGGACTCATTTCCACTGAGAAATTTCAAAACTACGGTCTGAGCAAATGTGTTGATGGATTTACTGTATTATATGTTTAGGATTCACACTCATTGCATGCAGAGTGAAATCTACTCTCAGACAAACCAATGTAATCCACAAGCTAGAGAGGAGTAAGGTATTACAACTCCTGAGGCTGTCTATCTACCGGAGTGGATTTCCAAATAAGATTCTTTTCATTCATAAAATTCACAATCCAGATTCTATATATGTGGATCCGTTGATGTCAACAGGAAGTTTGAGTGTACAAAGAATGCAGAATCAGGCTTTTATTATGCAAAGTTTAGAAGTAAACAACACTATCCTGCTGATTTACCACCCCTACCCTCATCCTGAATCCTCCCTATTTATAAGTACAGTAGCACTGCATTGCGTGCTAGATAAGATATCTGTGAAATGAAGCACCTAAATGAAAAGTAGGGAATTGGGGACTGTCTTGAAGAAGTCATAACTGCTACTTACCCTGCCTGCACCATGGCAAGCGCTGCATTTGTGTCGGCCACGACCCTGGCATTTGTGGCATGCCTGAAATCAAAATATTGCTCATGTATAAAGCTACCAAGATATTTCAGAAACATTAACATAGGATTACACAATCATTTTACATCAAAAATACTTCAGTGATGGTATTTTACTCCCAATCGAAGAGCATCAAATAGAGTAAAACCTGTTTTAAAAGACTACTAAAGGAACCATCAATAGTATATTATTTAACGGAGGAGAATTTCTAATTAGACCTACCAGAGAAATGGAAAATATTTTCTGTGCATACTTTTGCTGAAATTTCTTTTTTTTAATCAAAATTTTACTTAAAAAAAATAATTAAACTACCCATGGAGGAGATCAAAAGAGGAGGGAGATGTCATGAAAAAATATTGGAAAAGCTTCTGCCAATTTTTGTCATTATTTAAAAAAAAAGAGGAAAAAAATCACCTTGCACCGCTTCTTATAATGCTTAGAGCAAAATTTGTACCCAAACAGCTAAACAAAAAAGAGTAGTAAAAAATAAATTATACCTATTTGCCCATATATTTATAGTGTGTTTGGGTGTGCGCACACATACAGACCCTATTTTCATATGAAGATTCATAAGATAAAATTACAAAACTAACACTAAAATGTATTGAGAACTCTGCCCTCCACAACCATAAATAACCCATTTGAGCTTTGGAAGGCTTATCTAAATGAATGTGTCCTAATTAATAACACACTTTGCCCTTGATTTTAACCGATCCATAGACTGAATTACCTTGACTAATGAAGAGTGAGGTACTCGGAACTTCTTTGTATCATCCTGAAACATTGGCGGCGCCTGGACCTTAATATCCCATGGCCGAGGAGAAGCGCCATTTTGTGGTCCATCTACCAAATTATCTGCATCAGGAAGAAAACCTTATATAAATCTTGGTCGAACTTTGCCCTGCTGTATATGTTATTGGAAATGAGTCTGGGGTTCTCCAGCCACTTCCCAATGGAACACCAACAAGCCCCACAAATGGCAGTGCACTACAGGGTGCTCTTGTTGGCATTCTCAGCAAAGGATGAAGACTGAATTGCCTACTCTTTCTCTGGTGTAGACTTTCTTACTGACTCCTTCAACTGCCTCTCACGGATCCCCAAGGCCCATCCTAGTCAGGGTTCAGGCACATTGTTCAAGGAGTGTAAGGGACTGTTATCTCTGCTGTTCCTAAAGCTGTACCTTTCTTCTGGATAAATAAAAGAACTTCACTCTCTAGGGCTGTCAATCTGAAATCTTTCACAAGCAACGCGGTATATCACACTTTGCAGGAAGTTATTATTATAGAGGCAATCTGCTTTTTCTAATGGAAATAATGTCATCGGCTTCCAAGACCCTTAACAAAAACCTCACAAAATGGGAATAAAATGAACCTAAGTCTATAAAGGAAAGTCTTGCATCCACAATGCTCTCTTCAAAGTCCCTCAGCTGCTTCATATAATAGGTCATGCCAATCACTTCAGCCAGAGTGTATTACTTCTCTTAGAAACCCATCACACCTCACCTTTGCAAGACAGACCTCATTGTGTCCTTGACTTCTCACAACCGGATCTCTTTTTAGTCATTGAGTAAATCTTAGGGCTGGAGGAAATTAGTGATTGTTCCTACCTCACACCCATTTTTTATTTATTTATTTTTATCACTCATACTGTAATCTGACAAAAAGTAGTCAGGTAAAGCTTATTTTCTTGGTTTAAAGTCCCAAGTCATTAAGTACCGTAGACAGTTGATCAAGAGAACCCGTGCAAAAAAAAATGAATTAAATCTGACTTTAAATTGAAATAAAATTGTTTTAAATGTTAAAATTAAGTTAATGATTTAAGCACTGAATAGCAGAGCTGAGACAGCTTCTTATTCACCTGCTACAATATTCAGGCATTACATGGGGTCTCTGAACAGAGTATGATTTTTCAATGTGTACAATATGTACCCTATTATAGATGGGTGCAAAACAAAATCCCAGGTCTGACTATCCTTCCCCTAAGCTTGGAGAGAGATCTGATCCATTTCCTCATCCAAACTTTTCATCTTAGGTCCATATCTTACAGGTACTAGCAGAGGTACTGTGTGAGATGGTTTAGTGTAAGAGGAAGAATGTTCTAGTCATGTGGACACCATAGACTTCATCTGTGACCTTGACTAAATCACATATTCTCTCTTAGACCACATGGGTACTTATTCGGGGCGGCTAGCACATGTCAGCTCTCTCTGCTGCCCATGCCACCTTGGCTACGCTATTACTTTCAGTGCGGAGGTCAATGAGAGCTAACATGAGTATGAGCTGGGAATCACACCCCTAGCTCCAAGTATACACACGGCCTCAGTTATTCAAGCATGTCCTGTTTGTGTCATTTCAAATTGGTTATGTGGCAGTTACTCACTAGTAAAAGGTTGAAAAGTCCATTCACTTAGCCTTGATTCATGATAGGTCTCCAGTCGATACTAGAAAAGAGAAATAATCATGGAATCAATTACCGTTAAGAGAAATTGTATTAAGCCGCAATAGTATCATAGAATATTAGGGTTGGACGAAATCTCCGGAGGTCATCTAGTCCAATCTCCTGGTCAAAGCAGGACCAACACCAACTAAATCATACTGGAGAACTTTTCCATTTCAAGTTTTCACAATAAGTTGCTGGGAAAAGTCAGCAAGGACATTCACTGAATCATTTGATTCAAAGATAGAGCTCCATCAACTTTTTATTTATTTATTTAAAGAATTGGACTAGCAAATACAAACGGAAAGTCTTTTATTCATGGGATTCTGTTGCTTGTTTACTCAGGAATGTTCAGATAACAGCTAGAAAGTTTGTGAATCCCAAAAGTTGAACAACTTAGTATAAATTTGTCTGGAATTTCCTACAAAAGGTGCAGTATTTATGATTTCCTATTCATCAGTTGTCATTTATAGTCTAGTCTGAAAGGCTTCAGAAAACCCACTGGGGAACAGAAACAATACCATGTGACTTGGATGAACTATCACTCAACACAAATGATGTTGTGTTCACAAATGAAGAACTAACAGGCCATAGGCTAGAAACTCTTGATTCTGAATATTTAGTGAATACTTCCAAATTACTAATGACCTCGCACCTCATAAGTCTTGTGTGAACAGAAAAAAGGGCTAGACTGGCAATAAATATTATTTTAGTGAGTTGTTCAATGAACTCCATTGAGAACACAAAGAGTTTTGTCTATTGTGATATTTGGTGTCTTGTATTTCTCTTTTTAAAAGCTTTGAAAAGAGAAGTGCTCAATTATATATTAGAACTTGCTACAGCATAACATTTTTTTTTTCTATTTAACAGCGATGCTCATCCCATTGTATATGTATTAGAAAGTTGAGTGATTCATTGTGTATAATAATAGGGGGCGTCTGCATTCTGAAACTCATTAATGCTCAGTTCAATGGCAAACTGGCATTTTTGAAACAGCACAAAATATTAAAAAAAAACCTAAAAGAACATACACAAAAGAACTTTGCTACAGAATGGAGAAAGGAGAGAAAGCAAGAGGGAGAGCTCCTCTTGAGCTCACTTTAATAAATTTGTGAAGGGGATGACATAAAGAACCTAGATCAGTCAATTTTCAGCTGAATTATATATTACAGTGAATAACTGTGGTAGAGTACATTTAGGATTACAATTTGTTCCCTGTGTTTGTGTAAGTAAACCAAGTGCAGGTTAGCATATACCTCCAGTTTATGGAAAGGCAGCAATTTTAGGGGTCTGATGCCACAGACAAATTCCATAGATCAGAAGGGAGGAGAAAATCTTTCAGAAATTTTGTAGCGTTTAGGTATTGCAGATGCTCATACTATAGAGAAAGATGGACTTTTTCACTCGTAGAAGGCTGCAAATAATTGTAAGGTGTGTTTTCCTTGGAAAATATTTATTTGAGCAATAGAATTCCATTTCAAGACAAATTAATTAAAGCCATTTTATTTAATAAATAGATGATTCTTCATGGACCAGTATCACTTGACAACTGGAAAATTATCCAAGCAACTTGGCCAAACATGTCCCAAGCACCATTTTTTCAGTTTCAGATCTGAATATACTCACTCTGTATACAGTCATCTGTCTCAAATTCTGAATGACCAGTTCTCCAGCAGCTTTATTGCCATAGCAGCATTTGGAATTGACAAAGCTGAGGAAGGCAATCCTGGCCATGTCTTCTGTCATTGTGGGAATCCTAAGGATTAACATTAAAATGATAAACTCTCGATTTTTAACCTTTTAAAGAAACAGCCATGTCTATTTAGCATGTTTAACTCACTACAGGGGAGAGAAGCCCATTTGAGAGAAGCCCAGTCTTTGACACTAATCACTGCTGGCCTCAGCATCTTTTTAATTACAAACAAATAAAAGACAAATGTATTTTTAAATTACCTGCAAAACGAAAAAGATCTCACTTTGCTCATTAGTAGAAAAATGGGTCTAACGCAAAAGTTTGAACCCCCACCTTAAACTCTGCTGGTTGGGATAAGAAAGATGCCAGATCTAAAACACCATGGGTGGCTTTTGCAAAATCAAAACCCAACCTGTGATTTCACCAGATCCAAACCAAAATACAAACATCTTTCCTGTCCGATCTCTATACACACTTAGAAACTATATATAATTTTATACATGAAGAGCAACCATAGCTTGAGTCTGGATTTTTTTTATTTCAGGTTAATCGAAACGGCAACAACAAAAAGACTAATGTGCACATGAAGAGAGCATAATATGTGTCCTCTGTAACATGCTGCAATAGCTCTGCTCTGAGTGGCAACTGCCTCTGCAGACAGCAGCCTCCTAGAACTGTAGTGATGCAATACACAATATAACTCGCCTACCTACATATACAGCTGAAATCAAATATGAATGACATGCTAGCAGTCGCAATGGTAATAACTGATTTTAAAGCCCTGCTCCTACTGCCTTTGGTAGTCAATGGTAATACTCGCACTGACTGCGGGGACCTCCTTGCCCCCATTGTAATACTGTATGTTCTCCTTTTATATATTTGTTACATTTCTCTAATGTAAAAATGCTCTTGCAAAGATGTATTGAAATACTGTAGATTGGATGCTAACAGAGGGGATCATCTCAGCGTTTGCTGTTTGGGGAATGCTTAAGTAAGCAATTCTTTTCTTAGGAGGCGATGATGACTGAATCCTCCCAGGTAAAGTAAGTTTTGCTAAGGATTTGTTATGACCCTAGACAATATCCTTTAAGAATCTTTGCTGTCAGGATTGTGGCAACTTATATTAAGAAGCCCCTTTTCAATAAAAAGGAAGATCTAATATCACAAATCCTACAAATAATATGATGCTACAGGCAGTTATCAGAGAGCGCAAACGACCATTTTATAGGCTATTAGCCAGATCATTCTTGACAGGATAAATCACCCCTGCAGGCCTTCCGATCAATAACATGGATGTCTGAAACATCCATGACACTCTGATTAGAGACTGGGGGCTAATAAATCATCCTCGTGTTCAGGCTATCCAAAGGAAATTTAAAACACATCTGCTCTTAGCAAATATTCCTGAGCCTCTAGATCCCTTTTTATTTGGCTCAGATGTTTGATTTAATGAGTGTTTAGCAGATAACTATCAACTCACAGCTCCTATGTTTCTTTATTACTTTTCTGTCATTTCCAGGTTGTATTTAAAAAGACATTCAGGCAGGTCCTAATGCCCATCCCTCTCATAAAGACTGAGAAACTTAATCCCACTGTACACCTAGTCTAAATCTTTTTTGAGGCTCCCTCCAATCATTACACTAAACCACAGTTCATTACAATGGCGCTTTATCATTTGTGCTTTGCTTTTCTACTTTACTGGCAAATGGAAGATTGTTTTAAAAGGGTGAGGGCAGAGGCAAAGATGGAAGGTGCTAAGTTCAATACCTGGGGCTGCACGTTAAAGGTGAAATTCACCCCTGAGCAGAGGGCTAGCCCAAAGTGCCACTTAAGTCGCACAAAAAAATGTTGACAGGTTTCAGTGGTAGCCGTGTGAGTCTGTATCAGCAAAAAAAAATGTGGAGTCCTTGTGGCACCTTAGAGACAAACAAATTTATTTGGGCATAAGCTTTCATGGGCTAGAACCCACTTCATCAGATGTATGAAGTAAAAGATACAAAAGCAGGTATAAATACATGAAAGGATGGGGGTTGCTTTACCAAGTGTTAGATCAGTCTAACAAGACAAATCAATTAACAGCAGGATACCAAGGGAGGAGAAATAACTTTTGAAGTGGTAAGAGAGTGGCACATTACAGACAGTTGACAAAAAGGTGTGTGTGAGTAACAGTAGGGAGACATTAGTATTGGGGAAATTTAAGTTTAGGTTTTGTAATGACCCAACCACTCCCAGTCTTTATTCAGGCCTAATCTGATGGTATCTAGTTTGCAAATTAATTCCAGTTCTGCAGCTTCACATTGGAGTCTGTTTTTGAAGTTTTTTGTTGAAGAATTGCCACTTTGAGGTCTGTTATTGAGTGACCAGAGAGATTGAAGTGTTCTCCTACTGGTTTTTGAATGTTATGATTCCCGATGTCAGATTTGTGTCCATTTATTCTTTTGCATAGAGACTGTCCGGTTTGGCCAATGTACATGGCAGAGGGGCATTGCTGGCACATGATGGCATATATTGTACATCCCCCACTCACATGAGTTGATCCATTCACATGTGAGTAGTCCCAATGAAGTTAATAGATCTGCTAGAGAGGAGGAATGGCCTTGTGACTAAGGCATCAGTGGGGACTCAGGTCAGTGCCTGGCTCTGCTTCCTGTCTGGCCTTAGGCAAATCATTTCATTTTCTGTAAAGCGAGGAGAAGAATGCTTTCCCCTTGTCCGACTTGTCTATAGAGATTGGAAGGGCATGGACTCTCTTTCACTGTGTCTTTGCTCAGCACCTAGCACAATGGGGCCTTGATCTTGGTTGTGATCTAGGTGCCATTGTAATATTAATAATCATCAAAATAATACTCCTGGGGCAGCAGGCTAGGGCCCTAGGTCATGTTAAGCAAATACAGCAGGAAAGGCAAGGATCTCACCTGTGTTCTAGAAATATGGGCCTGTTTCTCTCTTCACTGAGCTTTCTCAGTAAGTCTGCAGGTGGTGGCAGGTTTTTTCCTCCTAAGGGAAACAATCAAAATATGGAATTAGTCTAAAATTTGACAGTAAAATCTTTTACTTTACAGAGGTTGTCTGTTGCTATGAATTAGTAATGGTGGAACCTCCAAAAAGACAGGAATTTAGATAAGGTCTCAAGAGTCTGGAGACTTATCCAAAGTCTGCAAAGTAGGGTGGCTGGACTATATCCTCAGATGGTGTCAATCATCAAATCTCCAGTGGAACGACACTAACTTATGCCAGCTGAGGATCTGGCCCAGAATCTCCTGAATAGACTTTCTCATGAGGTTTCTAATCCTTTCTATTTTCCGGCAGGCCGGAGTTTGGGCATTTTCTTTTGGAGCTTTGACAATTCTGGCTTTGGATCTGGCCAAAACCCAGCAGGGCAGAAGAATCAAAAATGAAAATAATTGAGGAGAATGATGAATGTTGATCACTTTAAAAAAAAAAGTTTCAGTTTGAGTTTTGTCAAAGGCTTTTTCTCTTTGGTTTTTGAGAGCTGATGTAGCGATTGAACTGTATCCACGCCAGCAAACTCCATTCATTCCAGTAGAGTTCCCGTAGCCTAATAATCCAGAAATATTGGATACATTGTAATAGATTTACTAGTTCATTACTAGGCACTGTTAACCCCTAGCTCAACATCCAGCAGAGGGCTCCATAACCTACCAAGCCAGAGAAAGAGAGTACAACCGGAGGTGAAATGGGCTAGGCTCAGGAGGGAGATGAAGGCAGTCGTCAGTAGGAGCAGCAGCAGGCCAAACACAGTAGCCTGGGAGCTGGCAGTGGATGGAGGTAGCCTGGGAGGTGGAACTAGATGGCCTGAGAGCTGGACAGAGATGCAGAGGACCAGCAGGAGGATACAGGGCCGTAGCTTGCAGGGAAGACAGTGTGCAGGGTTTTCCGTGGGGTCCTTATTACCTTTTAATTCAGCTGTGCTGCGTTTATCTTTTTGTTGTTGTTGTAATACTGAAAGCAATTGTGTCTAGGGTGTTTGCACATCTTTCTGCTGACAGGCCTAGTAAAGAAATATTCAGGGCATGCAAACGTTTTGAGGAACCCACTGAGCTTAAAGAACCTAATCCTTGAAGCCTTGGAGACACCCAGCATGCTACCAAGTGTTTATGGGACTGGTGCACCCCAGCACTCACAGCAACATCTTGTAGTGGGACCCGGTACAGTATTTAACCACAATCCAGAAATATTTAACACTGTGGCATAGTTAGGTATCAGAGTGTGTTCTTGCACCTTTCTCTAGGGATTTCCAACCCAACCCTGATTAGGTCCTAAGTGAACATTAGTGCACTGATCTCATCCAAGCCCCACTCACATACTTGACAAAGCTGCCTCACATGTTGGCATGAACAGCTGCCTCTGTTCAAGAGTGGCGTGGGACCACAATAGCAAAAGTTTTCACACCATAACAGAGACTTATGGGAAAGAGTCATGAGGAAGCTTGCATGGCTCTTGCTTGGGTAAAGCAGGGGCAATTAACCCCTCACTTTCACAGAACCAAATTCATTTACAGATTGTAATAAAAGAGAAACTCAGTGTTGCACATATACCCCCATCTCGCAGAGTCCATTCATATCCGTCCAGTTGTTCCAGAAGATCTGCAGGGGGTGCTAGTGGACTTTCAGGCTCCGATTCCAGATCCAGGATAGCTAGTGTAGAAATAAGGAACACGGAGTGATCAATTCAATGGAATAATCACTTACTGTGCTATAATTTTACTGGGGAGGGAGATAGGGCAAAGGGAGATGATAAAGGTAAAAATGGAGAGATCACAGCAAACCTTGCCTCCTGGGAGCTCAACCTCCAGGCTGGGGATGGTGCAACTCTCAGTACATTTACAGAAATGTAATTGATGTAGCCTAATTGTTAGATCTGGGGTTGGAATCCTTGGTTCTATTCCAATGAATCTTTGACTTTGGGCAAGTGGTTTAATTGTGCCTTAATTCCCGCACTTGTAAATGGGGTACAATCATGCCTGCCTTCTCAGCATTGATAGCAATATAAATACTTTCAGATCCTCAGATGACAGATATTGAATACAAACAAAATCATTTCTACTCATAAAGTATTTGTCCTGTTGGTTATAATGAAAAAGATGAACATACTACTGATGTGATTTAAGAATAATATTTTGTCGTAATTTAAACATTTCCCAAACTAAAGGATCATATTAATTTTCAGCAGTACTTTTTTAGGGAAATGTCTGCTGACTTAGCTTTTTAAGCACAAAAAAAAAAAACCCTTGTACCTGATATCAGATATTAGAATTTAGGTTCTGATTCTGCAGATACTTATGCACATGCTTAGCTTTATACACACATTACTTTAATGGGACTATTCATACTTGTGATGTTAAACATAAGCATGCAGAATTAGGGCCTTACGGAAGTATTACTGTAAATAACGTTTTTCCAGAGGTTGGACTTCTCTATTTAGTAACTGGATAAGAAAACATGAATGAGAATTTCAAATTGCCTAAGGGATTTAGGCCCATTAAAGCTAATGAAAACTGGGTGTCCAAACCTCCTAGCTAGATTAGAAATCTCACCCTTTGTTTTTAGTAATAGTAACGCTGGTAACTAGCAGTTGCTTCTATAAAATTTTGCCACACTTTTAACTATTTTAATCCTAATCTTGGGACACCAGTTGTTTGTTTCTTTATGTGCTGCTCTAAAAATACTCCCCTTACTGAGCTATAACAATTGGTACTCCTGATTCTTCATCCAGAAACAATCTCTCTTGTTAACTAGCCCTCCATCCAGTGACCTTTCCCATCGTATTAGAGTGGTTTGCATCATGAAGCAAATTCAGTTAATAAAAAAAACAAAGAAACACGTGGAAGAGCCAGGAAACGTCATCTGCTAACAATGTACAATTCAAACGACACAAAGAATGGCTCAGTGCAGTCATCCATCAATTTGATTTACTTGACTTTTCTTCTGAGACCATTCTCAATTCTTCAGAGAGCCTAAATTAACCTCTTCATTATTTTACCTATGAAAATAAGAAACTATATGCTTCAGTAGAAATGTCACCTTTCCTGTGCAGGAGAAGACAAGGTTGTCCTTGTACTGAAGGAGTGAAGATATCAGCCTAATGTTGAGTGATAAACACTACAGGACACTTTCTTTTTAAAAAATAATCCATATGTTGCTTTCAGTATAATTATTTTGCTCATGTCCAGAGCAAATTCAAAGTGATTTTATTTAAGGCAATGAGCAAAGCATCTCTAGAGTAGACTAGTAGATTAGATCATGGATTACGGTATATTAGTCTATTATGCATTTCTAAAATCTCTTGAGTCAGAGTTTGGTTTTGCAAATTTAAAATCAAGGGATAGTTCGGTAGTTCTGATCTAGGTCCCATTTTATCTGCACTTCCAATATCCAGGGATAGGGAAAGGTGTTGGATAAATACTTCCAGTTTTGCCCCATCTCTGTGTTCAAAAGAAATTATCTGATGAAAAAAGAGATCTGGAGAACCTACACCTATCTATGACTCACGACCTGGAGGGTTCACTTCTGGATGATATGAGAATTATTAAAGTTACAGTAGTGACTAGAGACCCAATGGATTTTGAAGGCTCATTGTGCTAGATTCCACACAAATAGATACTTACAGACAATACTTGCCCCAAAGAGCTTTCCAGCTACAAGACAGACAAAGGATGAGTATGGAAACAGAGGCTCTGAGAGGCTGAAATGACTTTCCAGAGGCAACACAGTAGGTCGGTGACGGAGCCAGGAATTAGGGCCCGTATTAGTTGATGCCTACTCACTCACAGCCTCTCTAGAAGTTCCATTTCCATGATATTTCTGCTGAGATTCCCACTAACGAGTTGAACAGCCATTCACTATGGACTAAACTATGACAACCAACCCAATTCACCAACTCCTATGACGTAGCAATGGAACTCACTTAGGTCATGATGCCCACAAGAAATCAGTCAATTTTATAAATTTGTCTCATTCAGAGAACTAAAAATCTTTTATAAATATTAATTAAGACTGACCTCACCCTTGTGTGGTGGGTGTGCATTATGTATATTTTATAGAGGCGTAAACTGAGAATCAGTGGTTTACCCATGGGCACTGTCAGTGCAGACACAAGAACATAAGTGTCCTTACTCCCAGAACCATTACTCCCTGTTAACCATTACACCACAATCTCTGCCAACATTTTTGATTTCTAAATCACATTGTACTTATAAAAAAATCTAGCTCTGCATGTTCCCAAGAGTACCCAAACATTTATTTTTAATGGACTAAAGTTAAAAATAACCCAGCATTTTTAAGTAACTTATTTACAACAAAAATTGAGCTGAGAATGTGTTCCAAATTCCAGCCCCATGCAAATGTTTTAAATGGCTGAGTTATAAATATCCTGAATTTGGAGCATATAAATCACCATCAGACTTGTTCCTGTTGCTGGATATCACAATAATCTATAAACGCATGTATTGCTGTACTTTAGAATAACAATGAGACTGAGAAGCACTTTGACCAAAGCCAGGAAATTGAGAGTGTAGGTTGTTACTCATCAGTTGTGCCTTAGGTATTTCAGTTTGCAGCATGTTCTTGTATTGTACGTTAGAGAACTAATCCTGCACCCATTGAAGTCAGTGGCAAAATTCCCATTGACTTCAGCAATGCATGGAAGCACCTGGTGACACCAATTTGGAAGTGCCCATGCCCCAGAATTCCATCCACAGACCGTATGTGTGCATGGATAGACTTCCAGAATGTAGAGCTCCTCTTTGGGTAGGTGCTTTCCACTGTGGCCACCCCAAATTCAAAAGCAGGTTTGTCTGAGCTGTCATCAAAATAGAATGATTTCTCAATGGAAACACCATAATTTTATGATGAAACTAAGGTTACAGGAGTGTGATTTCCCCCCACCCCACCCCCACCCCACAAACTCCAACAGGGCAGGTCCAGTTTGGGTTTGTGGTTCTGGCTAATCAAAACTATTGTATGCCCTATTCTATACTGTTGAATTCTTATACTTTCTGTGATATCTCGGTCATTGTTTTTCAGACTTTGGGGGTCTATAACAAGACTGCAAAACCAATGCCCCTTCCCTTCCATTGAGCAATATGGAAGCTCAGAGTGATTGAGACTGCCTGGTTAAGAATCCACAATGTAGATATGAGTGGATGAGTGATGGGCACATATAAACTGAATTGCCAAATACATTTTTCCCTTATCATAAAATAAACTGAACTTTGTCATCTCTTATTTCCCCACCTTTCTCTTATGCCATTTAGCACATGAAAAAGCATTTATATATTTTTACTGGAAACAGAGAAAGTGATATTTGGACAAAACTTAAAAATGGTTTGAGAGAGTTCTGGCATTACAGCCGGTTTAAATCTGTCGTCCTTTCCCTACATGTAAAGGAATATTTATGGGAAAGTTTATCAATAGTTGGCAGGAATTAAGTATTGAGAAATTATTTTTTTCCTTTGGATGAAAAGGGAAGGTTTAAAGCTAGAAGTAAATGGTGTCAATGCATTTATCTGACTCTCATAATATATTGGGATGATCATTTTCTTTTTTTAAATTACAATCTGCTTATAATGATGCCCATTTGCTGGAGGTGCAATTGTTTTAATGGATACGTGTAATAGTATATGTTATTGCAGGGTCTGATCTAAAGCCCTTTGAAGTCAATGGAAAGACTCCCATTGTTTTCAATGACTTTGGATCAGCCCTTTCTGAACAACATCTAGCCAATCTCATTCATTAGAAAAATATAGCCTTCAAATAGAATTATTTCTCACAACACCCAGGAAAAGCATCACTGAAACCCAGTTCGCTCTGTATCCTTTCACCTATTTCTTAGCTCTTTGGCGGTTAGTCAGACCTGGAGTTCAGTGGTTTGCATAGAGATTAATATCTCCTTTTTATCTTGATTTAACAATACTTCGTGTAGCATCGTTATTTCTCCCTACAATAATCAAGACTTTCATCATTCACGAATTAAACATCAGAACTCAATGACATTTCAGCAGTATTAATGACGGCAATGTATCACTGGGGCCCCTTGAAATGGGTGTCTCTTCTGGGACTGTATTATAATCTCTTTAAAAAGGTGCAGACAAAGATTTAAGATAAAAGATCCTTTATCATAGATGTCTTAATTGCACAGCATTTGATTAGAAGATATAAATGTCCCTGTTCAATTCTTGCCATGTAGCTTTGTAGTAGAATTCAAAAGTCCTCTGTTTATTAAAAACAAAACTGTGATGCAAAATTACTATGGAATTCTAGTCATGGAAGATGATTTTAAGGGCCTGAGCCATTGAAGGAAATTGGAGTTTTCCACTGATTTCAGTGGACTTTGGATCGGACCCTAAGTTTGCATTGAGCACCTTCAGCTGTCCAGAGAGGTGTATTTAAGGAATGCATTGACAGCGGCCACATTTTCACAGACAATGGGAGGAAGCATGCATGTATTTACCGTGGGCCTTTTCAGTGCTGGAAACATACTGTTGTTCAGTGGGTGGCCTGAAAGAAAAGCCTATAACTATTTTTAAGCATGCATTATAACGAAATAGGAAAACAAACTATTAGAGAAACGGTCCTCTCTGGGCTATATTTCCTTTAGTTTTACTTACTGTCATCTTCATTCTGTTCATGGTCCATTTTCAAGGGTCAGGAGGCAAAGAGGATTTTCTAATCCCAATTTCCACCATGGAATGCATTGTTTCCTGAGCATTCTGTGTTCATAGTCGCTAAAGCCCATCCCCTCCAGCCACTCCCACCTCACAAACAATTCAAAGGTCAGAATTAAAGTCAAAGCTGACACAAAAGTGAGTGACGAAAATAAAAGCCAAACAAACTTATGAGTTTCACGTTCCCCTCCCAAAGCAAAACCCATAAGAGGGGACAAAATGTCTAGAAAGACTAACACACAGGGTCAGATTACTCAATGAGCCCTTCAGGCCAGCTAGCCTGATATAAAGGGGCTGTAGAGTAGGTGTAAGTCCCCCTGCACATCGTATTCCCATCTGTCCCTCTTCTCCATCCAGTAATATGAGAAAGGTAGTTCCTTCACTATGGGTTTAATGTGATCATGGGCTTTATTCATTTTACTCATCACCCAAAATACAGATGTACTGTTATGGGACTTTGTCTTTTTTTCCCCCTTTTCACCTATTTTGCTTTCACTAGAAGTCTTTGTATCTGATGTTAGGTATTATCTGCTGTCATGTATGATTATGATGGCTAAATACATGCCAGCTAGACACCAGGGCTTTTGGCAGACTTAAGCCATGATCAGAATCCTCCATTCATTGCTCTTCATTTAGCCAGACTTGTATATATGTGAATCCTGTACATTACTACAACTCAAATTAGGATTTTTGTGGTCCCTAGTGAATACTGTAGCTATACCAAATGAGCTAATAAATATTCTGTGCCAAGCTATGCTAAGATTTCCCCAACTCCCTCTTGTGTACCTTACATCCCTTTTCTTCTTGTTCTCTGATTCCACAAACATACTTCCTTTTTGAACTTCAACCTTCATCCACAAAACCTAAGTTTACTGTACTATATGCAGACAGCATTTCTTTGGTAATATGTGTGCTCTCTAATGTTATCCATCATCTCTGTGAGCTGAAATATTAGGAACAGATTGATACAGTTAAGGACAATAAGCTATTGCCTGTCTGGGGAAACAGTTAACAAGATACTTTGGCCAGGTAGCTGATGATTATCATAAACAAACCTGTTCTTGAATTTTCTTATGTATATGTTATTTCCATCATTTATATATGTTTGTTTTGTTTCATTATTGTTTATATTTTATAGAATAACAAAAAATGTGAAGTTTAAAAAAAAATTAATGGAGGATATGTTGTTACTAGCCAATTTTTCAGTGCCTTACTTATTAGTTCATCTGGCCAAAAGGTTAATATCCAATGATATTCAAATATTTGATTAATTAGGGGCCTGATTCTGTGTCATCCTCATAGACTCATAGACTTTAAGGTCAGAAAGGACCATCATGATCTTCTAGTCTGACCTCCTGCACAACACAAGCCACAGAATTTCACCCACCCACTCCTGTAACAAACTCCTGACCTATGTCTGAGCTATTAAAGTCCTCAACTTGTGGTTTAAAGACTTCAAGGTGCAGAGAATCCTCCAGCAAGTGACCCATGTCCCACGCTGCAGAGAAAGACAAAAAAACCCCAGGGCCTCTGCCAATCTGCCCTGGAGGAAAATTCCTTCCTGACCCTAAATATGACAATCAGCTAATCCCTGAGCATGTGGGCAAGAATCACCAGCCAGACACCCAGGAAAGAATTCTCTGTAGTAACTCAAATCCCACCCTCTCTAGTATCCCATCACAGCCCACTGGACATATTTACCACTAATAGTCAAAGATCAATTAATTGCCAAAATTAGGCTATCCCATCACACATCCTTATGTAGGTATGAAGCATGTCTGAGAGAGAGAGAGGCTGTAGGAGCCTTTCTCTAGAGCTGATCAAATTTTGGATTTTTGTTTTCACTTTAATCCATCACCATGTCAACATGTCTTTGGGCAAAAAGTTCCTTCCATCCCTTTTTTCAACTGCTATAGACCTGGTCAAAATTTTCTAAATGGCAACATTTCACTGAACATTTTTGACAGAAAAAAAAAGGACATGAATTTTTCATGAAAATATCCTTTTGCACGGACTGCATAATGGACACGCAAAATTGCAGGCATGATGCTTATACTTAGATTGGGTGATCTCTGGGGTAAGGTTTGTCTTTTTGTTTTGTGTTTGTACAGTGCCCAGCACAATGCGGCCCTGGTCCACGATTGCGGCTCCTAGGTGCTGCTGCAAAACAAATACATCAGCAGCAGCAATGGGGAATCAGTAAGGACCTTATAAACCAGGGGTTCTCAAACTGGGGGTTGGGACCCCTCAGGGGGTCACAAGGTTATTACTTGAGGGTTCGCAAACTGTCAGCCTCCACCCCAAACCCCGCTTTGCCTCCAGCATTTATAATGGTGTTAAATATGAAAAAAAAGTGTTTTTAATTTATAAGGGACCTGGGGGGGGGAAGTCGCACACAGAGGCTTGCTATGTGAAAGGGGTCACCAGTACAAAAGTTTGAGAACGACTGTTATAAACTGTGAGAAGTGGAGAATACCCGTAGTGTAGTGTTCCCTGGCCACACCACTGGCATGCCCTGATCCATGCCTTATGTCTGGACTGGGTGCACAGCTGGTGTATAACTTTTACTCCAGTACTTCACCAGCCAGAAAGGCTCCCTACATAAGAGATATTTGGGGGAGCTGCCTACACATACTTTAAGGCCGGGTTATGCTGTCAGAGTTGTATAAACTGACCTGAATGTAACTCAGAATGAGGCCCTATTATAGCTCCAAAACCTTTATACATTTCGGTCCATCTCAGGTCATCAAGGAAGAGAGTTTACATTCTATGGCTAGCTGCAGTCAGCAGGAGCACGTGAGCTGAATCCCCCACTTTCCAACAGCGAGGGGGTGGCTAGCAGAGTGTTCTGAGGGAGGGCACCAGGACTCTGGAACTTGCTCCCCTTCTTAGTCCAAAATAGTCTGAATTTGTTAACCAATGACATCTCTTTGATAGGGCTTTTGGAGAGGGCTGAGACTATGGGTCCCTCAACAACTGAGGGGTGGAAAGGAGTCTCTTTAAGTGTCTGGCTGGCTGAGTTCCTGTCTGAATTGATCATTTTACGCTGTTGAGATGTAATTGTGCTGTTAATGGAGTTTTTAGAGCACTTACAGCCTTGGCTAGGAATCTTTTTAGCTATTATTTAAATCAGATTTTTTTTTAAATATCTAAAAATACTAACCAGCATGGGATAGTGCTGATAAACATTGAGCTAAATTGTGGCATAGAGCCACACCTCTGAGAGGGATAAATTAATAGCATGTATTAATAGCAATGAATAGATCCATTAGCCCCAGTGCTAAGCATTATTACTGCCAGCGACAGTTGTTGGTGTTCATTAAATGCTGTCAGTGTGCTAGGTGTAGTTGTTATTACACTCGCATTTCAACTTGAGAAGCTGTGATTCATTAAATACCTTCAAGATTAAAATAAATGGCTCTTAATGATCAAGCTAGACTTCATGTTTCTGTTAACTTCTACTCTTTAACTAAAAGCTTCAAGCATCCTGAATAGACTCTAAGGCCCTAAACTTGCAATGATAGTTGCATGGGTGGACCCCCACTGAAATAACTGGGGCTCTTGGGTCTGTAATTTGCATGATTGGGACCTAAATGTGCTGCTTAAAAACCTGTTTTTTTTTCTTTCCTCTGTTTGTCCCTTCCATTTTATGTGAAAAGACCTGAAGGCTGTCCTGATGTGTTGACCATAACGGTTCACTTTCCATCTAAGTCATACCCGTCTTAATAAAAGTCTAATAATAAAACTTAAGAGAACTTGATGGTCACATCTTTTCTGGGGTCTCTGATCTTTTCCACCACTGTGTCTGTGCTATATCACATTGAGGCATAGTCAGATTACAATGCTTTGCTGACAAGGTGCTGCATTTCATCATCCAACTGAAAGCCAGAGAGTCTAAGGATTTCTTTGGTGAAGTTCATCTTTTAAGACTATGAATCAGTCTGATATAAGCGGGACAAGGCATGGAGGCACCGAGTCCTCCTAAAGGTTATTATAATTTGTGAGTGAATTTACTACCCATGAAAGTGGAGGGTTTTATAGCAATGATTATACATTGTGCAACACCCTTCTCCACATATTGCAGCTTCAGATGGAGTAGGCTGGTAGTATGGTTTGGAAATATGGTTAATACAGATAGGTCCCATCTATACTGCAAACCCAACTGTGTTGTTTAACTGGGTCGGGATCACCAGTTTGTAACTGGAGCCTCCAGCACTGTTACTTCTGTAGAGTAAATGGAACCAAAGAGAGAGAGAAAAATTCCATCCAACTCAATGGGACATTGGTGCTGAAGCCTCAAAAAAGTTTTTAAATGTCACTGTTTTACTGCTGGTCACTTCAGTAGAAACTTTCAAAAACTCTGGGATTGTTGGCAGAAATTAAGTTTCTGGTGGGACTTGAGTAGAATCCCATTACAATGTATTTGTTCCCGAACCCTTCAGGGACTAGAAGACCTAAGGTCCGGTGGAAAAGATAGCAAGACCAAGTGAAGAGAAACCAAAATGAATGAACTGACGTGGTTGGAGATACTCATTGAGTTTGTGCTATTTTGCTAAATTCACACCCATTACAGCTCTCACCTCCCTTTACTAGTGAGTAGGACAGGCTGAGTTTTTCAAATTTTGTAATTTAAATTTTAAAAAAAGCAAAAGCAAAAAAATAAAAATAAAAATAAATGCTGAATTTTTTCCACATTTTTTGACTACCCTTGGTAGAAATAGCAAGTGAGCTAGTCACAGTCTCATTTCAGGCTAACAGGCCATATGTGAAAAGTGACCTTTCCCTTTCTCTTAAGATGCTTATTTTACAATTATGTGTATTAGTGGTATCAGTAAAATTGTCTACACCGGTGTGAATATATATTGTACTGGGTCTTCCGTCCCAATCTAGGAACTCTGGAACTAGCATGTTATTTCTCTTTGTTAGGGATACATGTAAAAGACACCCTTATAGCTATAGTAGCTGCATGGCATTGGCTATTTCCAGCTGCATAGCTGATATTATTTTCTGTTAGCTAGTCATATTTTTAGAGGCATTATAGGTTTTCTGGTGTTGGATTTGGGGGTGGGGAATGAATGCACTTTTATAACTGCCCTTTTTATTTTAAGACATTGTTGATTAAACTCTGGTTTGGGCCTTACGCGTTTTGTCAGTTGTCGGCTGTAGAATTAGGGCTCATAGTTTCACGGCCCATCCAAAACCTGACTACTGAGAAATGCTCACACCCTTCATTGCATGTGAATTGTATAATGTAAATAAAACAAAACAACTCCTGCCTGTTAAATTGTGATAACATTGTTATCGACTTATCAACTCTCCCTGAAAACAACGAATTACAGCGTAAATATTAGCAAGGGAAAACCCTAGCTTCCATTTAGTAGGATAATCTGGTGTAAATAAAACACAATCTATGAAATAGCAATGATTCCAGGAAGTATTAAATACAATACCTTATGAAATGTGTTTGCATCATCTCTGATTGGAACAAGTTGATGTCTCTCCCAGAACTTTTGGAGTGGAAAAGATCTTCCTGGGTGTGTATTTAAATAATACTTTTAAATAAATACTTCATGTGGGGATCTCATAGGCCAACACGCCAAGTACAGAAGAGTGAATTAAGGTGCAGAAAGATAAAATGACTTGTTCAAGCTCACTCAGCAAATCACTGGCAAAGCTAGGAAATCAAGAGTCCTGGCTTTAAGTCCTATGCTCTACCCAATGGACACACTTCCTCCTATTTTAGAGGTTTTGTGCAGGATTTAAGTCAGTAAAATCAATGGGAGACATATAGCTATAAAACCTCTGTGTGATGTTTTGAAAACCTACCCTCAATTGTTAACAACCCTTTGGAATTTTCTTTATAAAAAGACATACATGTTTGCTTGGCCCGTGGAAAATTTGACTAAGGCAGAAAATGAAACACACGGATGGTGGCGGAGTTCTATGCCACTCCCAGGGGGACTATAGCATTCTGTGCTGCGCTCAAAAGATAAATGTGACAGGTTTTGGATGCCTGCTATACTATGATTAAAGAAGACTGAACATACAGACGTCAGTCGGGAACAAATACATTTATCTTTGATGCTAGGAGTCATCTGTTTTTCTAGTTAAATGGGTCTATTTTAACTTAGACAGTTCTAAGCCGCGAGCAACCCATCTTTCCGGTTGCTATGGAGTAACAGGGAAACCTCAGTGTCCTAAAGCTGCTGTGTAAAGAGTTTCATAAATGCAAGTATGGCGCAGGAATGATTGAATGAGAGACTCAGATACTATGGCAAGGTTGCCAACACTTGGATTTTATTCCAAGTCTTGTCATATTTGATGTTTTACGTAAAGCCCCACTCCTGGAGACATGCATTTAGGTGCAATTCTCAGCTTTCTTCTTATTTTTTTTTATGAAAATTTCTGCCCCTGATGGTTGTAGAGAAAAGCTTGGAAACATGACCCAGGTGCCCCCGAAAGGTTCAAAAACCTGAAGGCAAATTAAATTAAAAAAAAGCAACATTATTTATTCAAATTTCTTTATGGAGGAGGGACTCATGAATTTTGAATGTTTGGGTTTGGCAGGAATTGTGATGGATATGGCACAAATACTTAGATAAATAATTCACGTCAGAAAGGAAAGAACCTCTGCCAGATATTTCCCACGTGTGTTTTATTCCTTACAGAGTTTGGGTGTTCGGCCATTTAAAATGTAGTGTCTAGTCTTTCCGGTGCTAAGCAAATCACATAATCAGGAAGATTTTGCCATTGCTTACATTAGGGCTGTGAGGTAGAGGTGGGCTGAAATTTTTTTCCCACTGAAATTTTAGATGAAAATGAAAAAAATTCCATTTCCATCTACATTTTCCATGAAATTGTCGAGTTTTGGCTGAAAATGGGAGTTGGATTTGTAGTTTGCTCTTTGTGTCCCCATTCTCCCCGTGTACCAGGCTCTGCAGCTGGACACCGTCTCCCACAGTGCACTATTGCCAGGATTCCATGTTACCCAGGAGTCACCTTATTGGTAGGGGAGACTGTGATACATTATGGGAGATGTAGTCCTGCTGGGAACCCTAGCATGTAGAATGAGGACATGAGATGGAAACTATCACTTGCTATGAAGCACTACAGCTCCCATTTCTGGCCCAAACCTTTTGGGTTTTGACCAAAATATTTTAGCGAAAAACAAAAATTTCCATCTAAAACAGACACTCTCTGCAAAAAAAAAAAATAGTCAAAAACTCAATCTTCTGTCAAAAACCAATTTGATAGGAAAATATTGACCAGCTTACTGGGAGGGGTATGTAGGTCTTCATGTTGCCCCCTTGAAGGGACCCCGAGTCCAAAGCCATACCCCACCCCAATGGTGTCACTAGAAGAAGATCCTGCCAAACCAGACTGGTCTGGGGTGTTAAAGTTTAATTTCCAGCCTGGGACCCTTGGGGGCGGAAGGATAGCTCAGTGGTTTGAGCATTGGCCTGCTAAACCTAGGGTTGTAAGTTCAATCCTTGAGGGGGGCCATTTAGGGATCTGCAGCAAAAATCTGTCAGGGATGGTACTTGGTCCTGCTGTGAAGGCAGGGGACTGGACTCAATGACCTTTCAAGGTCCCTTCCAGTTCTATGCAATAGGTATATCTCCATATTAAAGAGGTACTATGAGCTGGAGTCATTTAGATACTGCTGAGACTGTTTAGGCGCAAGACCTTAACAGAAGAGTGCTACTGTCAATGGAGGGAGACATGAGAGGCTTATGTTGACCAGTTTGGGTTAAATCTGAATCCCCTGCAATAGTACCCCAAAACAGAGAGAATAATTTGTATCCGAACCTAACCTTGCAATGTTAGGTTTGGATACAAATTATTCTTTCCATACTCGTCCTGCTACACGGGCTATAATCACTTGGCTAAATGTTTGACCCTTGTTTTGACTGTGGTATAATTGCATGTAAAGACAAGGTGGTGAAGTCATATCATTTATTGGCCCAACTTCTGTTGGTGAGAGAGACAAGCTTTCGAGTTTACATAGAGCTTTTCTTCAGATCTGGGACGAAAAGATATGACCTCACCCACCTTGTCCTATAATATCCTGAGATTAACACAGCTACAACAACACTGCATATTATAATTGCTTGTGTCAGATAGCTTGCGCTAGTAACTGTACCCAGTTACACAACAACACAGATTACAGTGGCTTTGGAGTGCTATCATGGTTACTAATCTGGTGACCTTTAGTGTTGACATTTACTTTTCCTACTCCCCGCCCCTCTTTCTCTCTCTACCCTGGACATAGTCTATGACAAAGATCTTGGGTCTGAAAAGGATGACGTTGAACTACACACGAGTTCGTTTCAAAGACAAATCATTTGTTGTGCTGCTCTAGGGCCTGAGTCTGATGTCACTTACCAGGACTGGAGTTACTCTTGCTATACTCCTTGGTCAATGACAACAATGCAGGCAATGACAACAGTAACTATATGATTTGCACCTCAGCGGGAGGTAGCCAGCAGTCTCATTGGCTGCTTGGAGGTAACATCTAATATAAAATATGAAGGCAAGGGAGAACGGTCTGATTATAACCAGTCTGTGAAGTGCTTGAAAAGAGTGTTGCTATTCCACCACTCATTTAGAACAGCCCAGGTGGGGTGGGGGGAGGTTCATCAGCCTCAAGCGAGAAAGTTCAGCTCCAGTGTTTATTTTATTAATTAAGTGTCTGTCGCGTGCTTGGTGCTGTCCACGACACAGAGGAGTTCATGTTCCCTGCTGCGAGGAGCTCCCACTTTAAATAGATGGACAACAGAAACCTTCCGGGTCTCCCAGTGTAAGGGTCTGTCCTAAATCCTAATTTTTTAACAGACCACCTTAGTGAGGAGCCTCCTGCGATCTTCTGTAATTGACCCTGCTTGTGCTGACCATGTGGTTTGAGCCCAAGTCCTACGGAGCTGAAAGCATGAGATGCTATCGGTAGAGCTAGAGGAGTAGCTCCTGCAGTTCAAAGCAGACTCGTGGCTGTTGTGTGGCTCAGTCACAATGAGGGAGACAAAGACCCACCTTCCCCTTGTGTATGTTACACATGGACATGTGCTAACATCACTACCTATCCCTCTCTGAACCAATCTCTTCCCCCACTTTCTTGTGAAGGTCCTTATCAATGGATAAGGAACACATACCTGTGGATCCTGACCCTGAGAGCTATTGCAGAGTGAGAGTGTATTTGCAAAATGACAGATCACATTCCTTCATTTCAAACTCTGTAAGAAAGCTACCTGACGCTGCTTACATTTCCATCATTTAGAATATGCATTTCACACATAGGAATTTAAAGGATACATTTAGCAAGCTAAATATCTCAATGCAAAGCTATGGAGATCAAAACCAAAAGCTCTGAATTCAAATCTGTCATACAATACGCTAGCAATGTTCAGTTTTCATGATCACGATTTATTCGTCTCCATAAACATAGAGCGAATGGCGAGAGGTGCACGGGAGAGGTGTTCTGCTGTTTAATTTAAGCACGGTGTGACCTGCATAAATCGTTACTGCACCGATAAAGAGACACCCATCACCCTCTGTGATCATGCTGGGAGTGAAGATCTTTAGATCTGCTGTCCAGTGAAAGTTGGAAAGGAAGGAGTTGCTCAGTTTATTAAAGAGAATAAATAATTCCAGCTGCGCTGTGCTGCCTGATGGTGTGTTTCTTAGCAGACCTTATGACCTATCTGTGAATCACATGACTGAACAGCAGCACTTTGCGGGGTAGTCCTCTGTATACACTTTATTCTCATTTCCAAAGACATAGAAGGAATAGACTTTTCCTCTCCATTCATATTCCACCTTGGTGAGTGGAATCAGCTCAATGGTTTGTTTCTGGAAAAGACAAAGGAAATATATGATTATATCTGATAATAATCCAGAGTTTGGGAGTCAGATCCTGCTGCCCTGGCTTATGTTGAGGTGCACCTTCCTCACAAATAGCCCCTTTCACTTCCCGGGTAAAACGCTACTCAACATGAGCAAGTGGATCACAACCAGGCTCTTCTTTGGTTTAAGGAGCCTGATCCGAAGCCCGTAGAAGATCTTAGGAACCGGCGCTGGTCCAAGGATCAGTGGTTGAGAAACACTGGTGTAGCCTATCTGTGCTTAGTGTTTCACTCATCTCAGAATTCCTATGGTGACGATGAATGGTTTCAGTTCCTTTCCCAAGTATCCTTTGACCGCAACATATTTACACCTTTCTTGCACACCAGGATATTTAGAAGTAGTGGACTTCATTGTACAGGTTTACACCACTTAAATTATTCCATCCCCAAGTGGCTGTAAAACAAGCTTCTTCAAACTTACTGTCCCCCATCTAACTCTCCTTTTATAAATCTTGGGGACTGACTATGTCGTTTACATTGATTTTACATGATGGATCTTCATTTGATTTTGATAGATTTACTCCCAGTGAAAGTCAGGTTAAAATTGTGCAACAGAGATCTGGTAAACACGTGACAAGATGCACCCTCCCGGGCAGATGGTAAATTAGTAGCAACTTGCGCTCGCATAGGTGCTGCAGGGAGGTGCAGTAAAACAGCTCCAGGAACAGGAAGGGAAAGCCTGGCTGGCTGAAGGCTGATCTCTGAATGTGGGGCGGTAGATCTAAGTTAAGATTCCTCGAACCGGGAGAATATTTTGCATATTGATGTTTTTGGAGTGTTTTTTATTTCCTGTGATTACAGTGCACAGTTCTCCTTGAGTAAAGGGAACTGACTGGCTGACCTTGTGTGATTTTGCTGTGTTGTTTCACCAGTTTACAACTGTAAATTACATATTCTGGAGATTAGCAGTAGAAGGATAATATTCTCCCCCAGTTGCCTCCCATTTATTAGGGCAATGAGTTCACATTTGTTTGGTGCATCTTACCTACCTGTCTCAATATATGACTATTGGAGGCAAACTGCATTTGGTGTTGTGCAATGCATGATTCTGAACCCCTATCAATGGTTGGCTCGGGGAAATTCACTATAGGATACACCTGTGAAAATAAAGACAGAGTTATGAAGGACATATTTATACAACTTCCAAAATGCAGTTTTATCATGTTAAGGATAATTAGTAAAGAACTGTAGTCCCTTGGGTATATTTTAATTTTATCCCATTGTACAGACCGCACGTACAATGCCGACGCCCTCCTAAGCATGAATTTAACTGGCAGCTGGCAAAATGTCAGTGCTTCAAGGGATAAATCAGTTTTAATCTAATTTTAAATACAGATCCTGGATTATCCTTCAGCACCTCACATCCCCAGCACAAAGCAGACCTGCAGTTGGCTAAATCAGCACAGGAGGATGACTGCAGGATAGTGAGATTCTCAGATGGCACAATAACCACTCTGGAGAACTCCTTTCCCTGTCTTGTGCTGTGACAAAAAAGGGCCCGAGATGCAAAGTCCCTCTATGGATGCAAACTTTCCCCAAATTCCTAGTAGTTCAGATCCAGGGTTCTGGTTCAGGCCTGTCTCTCTTATTGCTCATCCACAAGTATTGATAGCTATCACCAGTGTTTAACTGGACTGTAGCATGTTGCCCATGTTGTAACATGATGATATAGCAATGGCTGCTACTGTGTTGTTCTGTCATTGGAAAATTGCTGTTGCATTTTTTACTAATATGCAGTGAAATCTTCCTATAGAAATTATACATTTATCATAAAATGTATGGCTATTAATTTTACTTCTTTGTCCCTTTAAAATTACTTGGTACTGAGAGAGCTAGTTCATAAACATGGCAGTGTGCTCTGCAGTTTCAGTGGATTCCAGATACAAGAATTTTAACACAATAGCATCATTATTTACCACTTGATTTTCATCACTAAATATTTCCTTCCCAGTGACTTCCTGCAGGTGATAAATAGGAAACCCCAAATTCTTGTCAACAACATATTCAGCCACGCTGTTCTTCCTGTTGGGAAAATGGGGGGAGCATGTTGGTTTCTATTTCTCTTCTTTAAAAGTTAGGATTGCTATGATTAGCTCTATACAACAAAACCCCATAGTGTTCAACGTGTTTTACAAGCCCTGGGACAAAATCATGCCTTGGGAAGCACACAGGATTATGGCGGAAAAGCCACAGCTGGGAGGGGAACCATCAGGGGTAACTTTTGTGCCCTGCTCTTATCTCCCACAAAATCTGTCAAGTTCAAGCCTTTGTAGCTAGAGGGCATTCTGGGCTGGGCTTTGGTTATGTGCTTCACATGTTTTAGCTTCTATGTCTCAGATCCTACCACCCCCTGCAGGTTACTGCTTTCCTTGGCCTGAATAAACTATGTGAGAAGAGATTTCCAGGGCCGCAGCCAGTCCCAGGTCTACCTTAATTCTTGCATTGATTAATGTGTGCCACAGTGCAAGCTACAAACAATGAGGGTTTCCATTTGGCCTAAGATATATACAGATGGTTTCTTCCATAACTGAAATTCAACCACTTGTGGGGTATGAGACGCACCCTTCAAGCAAGGCACAGCAACATTAAACAGATCAAAATTTAAAGGGAAGATGATGGGTCTGTCTGACTCTCATTTACACAAAAATTCCTTTATACCTTAGGGGCAGTGCTAGAGCAAGGTAAAGGGATCAGAACGTAAACAAGAATTAGGCCCACTACAAGCAAATGTTAGTGAGGTGAAATGTAGTTTACTCTGAATTCTATCTGGGCATTGAGCTAAGGTGCTCTAGCTAACCATACCGAGGGCGTTTTAATAGGCACTAATGCTCGGGACCTTGGTTTTCTATTTGATCCACAAGTTCTAGTAATCTAGTTGAACACTCCAGGTCTCTGAATATTTGTGTGCCAGATGCATCCAGCATGGACTGTGATAATGTCATTTCTCATACTGCTTAACTAAAATTAGATAATCAAGTGACTTCTGAAACTTACAAAATTATACGTCCAAGAGGTGAGAGCTGGATTTCAATGCCACTCTTTCTTTCAAATCTACATGTAAAATATCAATTTCTAAGGATTTTAACACTTCTCTTAAATGACATCACTATCACCAGGAGCACTGATCTCATGTTTGAGCCATATACTTTAAAATGTTGGGCCACATAACTGGCAGATGTAAATCAGCCTGGTTCCATTGAAGTCAGTACTCCAAACCATGGCACAGCATTTAACAGGAATGACCTCAGCGGATCTACCCTCATTTACAACAGTTGAGGATCTGTCTCAGTAACATCAGCATGCTTGAGAATGGCCAACAACTGTATATACCCTCCTGTCTAACAACAAACCCCTGTGTTCATTTGATTTCAACTTACCAAGTGATTGTAAGTTCAGAATGATATAGCAAGAGGCCTTTTCCAGAGCAACGGATGCATTTCTGCCAACCGCCACCATGACAGTCTGAGCAACTATGGAAGAAATACAACATTTATGCACTCGCTTTACACACACAAGCCTCCTTTATAGCACTCTCATTTTCATCCAGAAAAGTGGATCGGTTCAGTAGGCCGTCTGATGTCAATGGGTTCATTAAATCGGACATCACCAGTCTGCATGTGTGTGTTCTAATGTGACACCAAGGAGTGGGAAAACCCGTCATCTGACTTGACTTTTTAAATTATAAGGTTTTCAGCACAGGGATCTTCTCTTACGATGTGTTTCTACAGTGTGAGTGAGGCACAATGGGTCTCCAGAGCTCGGTGGGGTCCCCTGGGTGCTAAAACGATATAATACATGAATAACAACCTGAAGAAAGTGGGTATAGAATCCATTTTAAGAACATAAGAACATAAGAAAGGCCGTACCGGGTCAGACCAAAGGTCCATTTAGCCCAGTATCCTGTCTACCGACAGTGGCCAATGCCAGGTGCCCCAGAGGGAGTGAACCTAACAGGCAATGATCAAGTGATCTCTCTCCTGCCATCCATCTCCATCCTCTGACAGACAGAGGCTAGGGACACCATTCCTTACCCATCCTGGCTAATAGCCATTAATGGACTTAACCACCATGAATTTATCCAGTTCTACACCCACTTTGTATTCATTTTCCACTAGTTTAAATGATGCACGGTAGTGAAGGACGAGGCCCACTGCCTCTCTGTGTCTTAGTCTCTCCAGCATAAAATGGGGTTAATAACACCTACAGCACCTTCCAGGAGGCTTAGTAAATGTTTGCAAATTGCTTTGCAAGCTTTGAATGTAAGGTGCAAATGTTTGTTATTATAAATGGAAAGATTCCCATTGACTCCAGTGGGCACTGAATTGGATCTGTAGTTTGGTTAAGTTCTTATTCAGCTGGCACCATTTCACCCATTCCCATATTCAAAGAGCGCAGAGGAAATGATATCCTAATAAAGAGCCATCTGGTCAACGAAAGCTGTGAAAGAAATACAAATTGCCATCTGGTATTTTAGCATTTTCTTACCGTCTCTTTCCTGAACCTGAGCAAAATAAACAACTCTGATTGGATGTGTCTTGCCAGCCAGTCCCATTACAAGCCGTACATCTTCTCTACATTTAAAAGGGCGAAAAGAAAAAGATATTTTTTTTCTGACTAGAATTTGATCTTCTCACTTTTCATTTTGTGAGGTCCACATTCTCAACCACAAAAGTACATACACGTATCTGGAGCTCAGAACGGGGTAACCTAAGTGGACCTATTTCATCCCATGCACCATGCGGCAAAGGCACCTACGATGAAATTCATCCCTGTGCAAAGAACCCACACAAGGTCCATGCGCCACGCTAGTCCCACTCAAATCCTAGTTTTGAGGATTTAAATGGAAGGAAAGTAATGCATAGGCCTCATGCTGGATTTCTATACAGGGATGAATTTATCCCTTAATGCAGAATATTCCAGTAAGGATTCCATATCCAGCAGAGAATTTAATTGCAGACAACTTAATACTGCTGCCTATGTAAGTGACGTCACTCCATTTATATTACTGTTAAAATGAGGTAGGCACATCCTTGGATCCATTCTATAGTCTGTACGAGCTGATATTTTAGCAAGAAACTTTTCATAACACATTTTCCGTGTCTGAAGATGGCAGTAGAGTCTGTTCAGTTTCAAATTTTGCAATGCTCACCTGAACATTATTGAGTAGCACCTGCAGATTCCAGAATTAGGACTACAAATTAAAGGCAAGAGATTTCAGCAATACCTGTTCTTCCTTCCTTGTTATCGATAAAGGTTTGTTAGTCTCTAAGGTGCCACAAGGACTCCTCGTTTTTGGTTTTTTTTTTAGTGCTCATGCAGTTATCTAGTCTCGCTGATACTCATAAAAGTAGCCCTTACCACCTGCAGGACCTGTTTTTCTCCTATAATTTGCATCCTCTGGAGATTCAAGTCCTTTGTCTACAGGTACTGCATGCTTAGAAGTACTGCCATATTACTCACATTGACTGACCTATGAGAGTCAGCAGTTACCGAGTCGCCATTCTTAAAAGCAGTCCTTTAGCCTCTTTGATGAAACTGCCAGGCAGGATGAGAGTTGGTGCTAGATCAGATGTGAACAGCCATCGTATCACAATGAATTCTGATTACTAATGAACCGGGCCAGAACAAACTGATGAAAAGCTCAGCATCCTATTACCTGTTCCCTGAGTCATCCAACCAGTTCCTCCGATAAAAACCCTGCATGTTTCTGACAGTGACAATGGTTTAGCTATTGGAGAAGGGTAATTCTCTGCCAACAACTGCTGTGACAGCTATATACCACAGAACGGAAGTTCTATTAAATTTTTTTACCAATTTCTCATCCTAAATTTGTATAGGAGAGCCTGGAAAAACTTTTGAGGGGACTTGTGCTAAACGATTAATATTGACATCTATAGTGGCTACAGAGGGGCAGTCCTTCTTTTTGTGGTTGGTTAAATACTGAGATGATATTTACAAAGGAAGCACCTCAGTTGAGGATCTCTTTATTAACTGCTACCAAAATCTCAGCATCATTAATGATCTGGATGATGGGATAGATTGCATCCTCAGCAAGTTCACAGATGACACTAAGCTGCGGGGAGAGGTAGATACACTGGAGAGTAGAGAGAGAGTCCAAAGTGAT